CCGACCCCCTCACACCCCTACTTTGGAGGGTCGTCTCACCTTTAAGGTCCTTGTCAAAATCACTCATGTTTCCTCGTGGAACTTTCTGCTCTCCCCGTGTGTCTCACTTTTCTGATCGTTATTTCCATATGTGTTATATTGCTCCCATACGAAAGGATGGGCTCCTGGTCAGGTTCAACGTGTTTGTATTTCTTATAGTGTTTTACACTTTAAAATTAAAATTGTGATTGTTATAAGAGCTGTAAGAACCCCCAATGAAGTGATTTATATATAAGAAAAGAATATATATAAAACATATGCCATCGTATATAACCACTTTTGCCCCTTAAACGAGAAAATTCAGATTCCTTTTATTATTATTTACTGATTTTTTTCCCTTGAACTTATTGAAGCCCTCCATATTTACCTGTTCAATCTCTTATTGGTGGGCATGAGTGATTTCCAATGTTTACCATATTATAGATGCTACCATGAATCTAACACACACGCACATTTATCCATATGTCTTCCTGTAGGATATCCTTGCGTATGCAATTGCTAGGTAAAATGGAATAAAGATTCTAAATGGTGATAAAGATAAAAAAGGTGGACAGGAAAGATTCTAGTTTTTGCCTTTCTCTCTTCCCCTTTCTGTATCCTTCACAAGAGCCCTGGTGGTGTAGGAGTTATGACTAGACTGCTAACACATGGTCAGCAGTTTGAAACCACCAGCCGCTCTGTGGGAACCCACAGGGGCAGTTCTAGCCTGGCCCATAGGGTTGCTATGAGGCAGAATCGACTGGGTAGCAGCGAGTTTGGATGTGGTGCCCTTGACAAGGTCTAACGTGGCATATATCAGCGCTGCTCAGTAGTTCTGACAGCGCTCTAGCAGCAGACTACCTCGGTTTGTATCCGGGCTAAATCCCCTCTATCAAAACACAGAGAACAATCGTACCCTCCTCCCAGTGGGGTTGTGAGGCTCAAATGAGGTAATACAATACAATCTTGAAAGAACTTAGCATTAGTTAGTACATCTAGCAAATAAATGTGCAAGAGATACGAGAGGAGAATGTTAAGTGGTGCAGACAATTGTCCAATGAGTAAAACTGAATGGAACAGGATGAGGCATTTTCTAGAAGTGGGTGGTACAGAGCTATTCAGGTTTTGTTATTAAGACCAATAGCAATTCTTGAGCAAGGAAGCCTGGTGGTGGGGCAGTTACGTGCTCAGCTGTTAACGGAAAGATCAGGCGTTGAACTCCCCCTTCTGCTCAGCAAAGAGAAAGACGTGGCAATCTGTTGTCATAAAGATTACAGCCTTGAAAAGCCGATGGAGACGTCCTACCCTGCCCTATAGGGTTGTTTGAGTCAGATTGAGTTGAC